GTAAAAATAATCGCCGTGGTGAAGCAGGCGTAGTAGACGAAGCCGCGTTTGAGAACTTCAAATACGAGCTAGAGGGTGAAGATTACTCGGCAGAGAGATGTGAAGAATTAGAACGACACTATTGGCGTACCCTCACATATGCTCCACCACTTTATGGAGCGGATATGATGGGATCATTGTTCGATGATAGAACGACTGAATGGAACCTTGGAAAGTTACCCAATATACTTGATCATTTGGGCGGGCAGATTCCTGGTGTCAACACTGCATATCTTTACTTGGGCATGTGGAAGGCTACATTTGCCTGGCATTTGGAGGATGTCGACCTTTACAGTATCAATTATCTCCACTTTGGCGCACCGAAGCAATGGTACAGTATCTCTCAGGGGGATGCACGACGATTTGAAGCTGCGATGAAAAACATCTGGCCAGCTGATGCTAAAGCTTGTAGCGAATTCCTTCGTCACAAAACATTCTTGATATCACCTCAGCACTTGTTGTCAAACTATAACATTAAGGTCAACAAAATTGTCCACCGACCAGGAGAGTTTGTGATTACTTTTCCATATGGATATCATTCTGGATACAATCTCGGGTACAATTGCGCCGAGGCGGTTAACTTTGGTTTACCATCTTGGCTTGAATATGGAAAGGTGGCTAAGAAGTGCGACTGTGATCAAGCTCAAGACAGCGTTTGGATTAATGTTCGGGATCTAGAACGCAAGATGAATGGCGAAGAGACTGAATATGAAACCGACTTTGACGAGGATGAAGAAGAAGAGGAAGAGGACGAAAATGAAACAACAGATCTTCTCACTCCCCCTGACAGCAGCGGCGACGCGAAGATTAAAACCAAGACACAACGTAAGAGAAAGCGTGTCAAGAGCGAGTCGGACGAGCAGCAAAATGTGAAAAGAATTCGAATGCGCATCAAAGCACCGGTCATCGAACCGTGCGTCTTGTGTCCCAACGACATTCCTTCCGAGCCTCTACTCCCAACCGAGGATGGTAAACAGGCACATCGTATGTGTGCTCAGTACATTCCAGAAACGATCGTTGAAGAAGCAGATAAGAAAGAAGTGGTTACAGGCATTAAGGAGATTTCCAAAGCTCGATTTGACCTGAAGTGCAACTATTGCCGCTCGAAGAAAGGTGCATGCTTTCAATGCTCCAAGAAGAAGTGTACAAGAGCATATCATGCGACCTGCGCAGCAGCAGCAGGCGTCTTTGTTGAGCAAGGTGAAATCCCAGTGTTTGGAGAGGATGGTACTGAGTACAAAGAGTGGGGCATCGAATTTAGTTGTCGTTTCCATCGCATCAAACGCGATAAGAGGCTGGACAGCGAGTCTCTCGAGGAAGATGATCGCATTCGCAATGGTGCCAAGGAGCTGAAACTTGGCGAAGTCTGTCAAATGCAGTTTTACAAGGGCGACATATTTGCAGGTACCATCATCGAGAATCGGAGAGATGAAGAGACAGTGCTTGTTGATATTCTGCCTCGTGGGTTCGTAGACATCTTTTACCCTTTTCTTATGATCTTGCTAACCCTTCTATTAGTGACCGCGTTGAAGTCGAATACAAATGGATTCTCATTCCCGACGCATCATTCTTCACTCTCGCCAAGCCATCCGAGAAAGCAATCCCCTTGCCAAAATCTCGCATTGAGGCAGCGTCGCTCAACACCACCAAACGTCAACTTGATGATATTCCAAGAGCTGAAGATCCATTTGTCAAGGGCTTTACGTGGGCAGAGTTTAATACAGAGAGTATCGCTCGCAATGCGGCACAGGTCAAATTGGATTTGAGCAAGGAGAACCAAGTTTGGTATTATCTCGGAAAGAACTCCACAGAGGCTAGGGCACAATTCACGGAAGACCTAAAGATTCAGAGACACAATCCTAAAGGCCATTTCCTTGATACAATTCCTAAACCAGCTACAGCTGTGCCACGTACATCATACGCAGCCTCATATCCTACATCCACAAACAAATTTTCAGCAACCACGACAAAGATGCCCATCGCCAACACTTCCAACATAGGCCCGGGGATACAGGCACTACAGAAGATGGCCGCTACCAAACTTGTGAATCAACCGGCACCCTCTGGAACTTCCGCGCCTTTTGTTGCGAGGTCAGAGAAACCATATGTGTATAAGCCTCGTAAATCTGAAGATGGTTATCACAGCGGTCTGATTGATGCGCAATCATACCAATCTCAGCAAGCTTTCTTGCGACAGTCAGCGGCTTCTAGACCTGTCCAAGTACCTGCAGTTGGTCTCAACTTTGGTACTGATCCCAGGTTTCAAAACAACTCGGCGTCTCCTGCGCCCTCTTCTACGACTCCTCCTGCAACCACTTCTACGAATCAATCTGCGGTTGTTCCCCCGAGAGCCGCTTATACACCAAATAATAGCTATGCTCCACAAGTTAGTTACCCTCCACAGGTCAATTACGCACCACAAGTTAAGTATGCTCCACCGCGCCAGCCTCATCAAGCAGCTACACCACGTCAATCTCAAACGACTGCTAGTCCACTGGCTCCACCTAATACAAATTATCGACCAACTCAGTCTTTGGCGAAAGGAAACAATCCTTTCAGCAGTAGAGCAGCTGCCCCTAAAATGGGAAATGTTTTTGCGAAGTATCTCTACTTGCAGATCGAGCATAACCGCTCACCCATGGAATACAAGAGTCCCTACAGGGAAGGTGGAGGATTCATGAATGGTTACCAAGGCAATTGGACAGAGCATCTCAAGAAGACACTATTTGCAAAATCAGGATCATCTACAGCATCACCCCCAACCTCAATTTCTTCCTATACTGGGGGCGTTGGCAGGAAAACATCTTATTCTACTTCCTATACCCCCCAATCTTCTCGCGGTTCCTATTCCTCCAATGGGTCCCAAATAAATTCCCCGGCAGCTTCATCTGCAAGACCAAGCTATGCTTCACCTTCCATACCTAGACATCAGCAAACGCCAACACAACAGGTTACGCTTAAGCTGTATGACACCAATCAATGGGAAAGGAAAGACTCGCCTTTGCACCCAGCTATTCGGAAAGAGTATAGTTCGATGTTTCACAATCACCACGTGCCGCAGCCACAAGATCAACAACAAACTTCTCAGCAGCAAGGTCACCAGCAGCACAGTCACAAAACTCACAGTTCTACTCAGTATCAAAATTCATCTTATCTTCCACCTGGTAGTCAAGGCTCTCCCGCGCAGTATGGATTCGCGTCTCAAGCGCCAAAAACGGCTGAGTCCGAGCAAGCTCAGCAACTTCAGGAACCTCAGAAGTCCCAACAACTCCAACCTCCGCAACCTCAAATTACGCCTCAAGCTGCACAGGAGACTGGCCAGAATCCATTATCACAGCCTCAACCGGTTGTAAAAGCTACTCTCGTTACTCCTCCCCCGTATTCTCCTCCTCTTGCCCAGCGAGAACCAAGTCAGCAACCGATCAATGTTTCGCATCAGTCTCAGGTCCCACCTCAACCTCCTCAGCAGGAAGCAAAGCCCATCTACCCTCATCAACAATATTTCCAGAACCTTAATGCTTCGCAGGTACAGCCACAATCTTTTGCTCCTCCCCCGCAAACCCACGACTTACCAGACGTGCCTATTGACTCAGAGTCTTTGATTGAAGACATGCTGAAGAATTTGAGGAAGGTCACGACAAGTACGACTAAGTAGGAGGATGGTATTTCGAGAAATCTTTTTAATATGATAACATTCCAATCAAATTAGCTCAAGGGGCGTAATGTGGGGAAACTTTGATGTTCATTGATGTGTTTAATGATGATTCTTGGGGGCGTACATAATACCAAATCCTAAGATGAGGATGGATCGTTTGGCGTTTAAGGATATTTGGGACAAGGGGGTGATGAGGTGTTTGTTTGGGTTCTCGTCCGGGTTTGTTCATGTTATAGTTCTTCCAATTCTTCCAATTTAGTTCATGAATTCTAGCAAGTTCTCGTTCAACGCAGTATCTGCATTTGGACAGGTTTCCTTCTCTTACCTCTGGAAAATCAGATCAGTATTCACAAACTATCATGATATTAGTGAGAACTACTGGATTGTTAGGATGCATTTTGTTTTCATTCACGTTCTTTCCTGATGTACAAGCGAAGTCAATCAAAGCAAAGCAGAGAAAAGCATGGCATCATTAAACAGATAGGCGACATCAAGTCAATTTCAGATAGGAGATGGAAAGCATGTAAGAGGAAACGGGATGCAATTGTACACTAGTTTACGCAGGTTATAGGAGGAAATGATGATGATATGTGTGTTATAATTAACAGTTGGTATTCTGGGAAAATGTCTTGATATGTAAATTTGCTAATATATGACTTGACTTGAAGATATTTCGGTAAGCGATAAACTTGGTTGTTGACCGCTCATTCTACAATACCGATACTTATGGGATAGTCATATATATATATATACCTCTAAATACATATAGACAGAAATACATTTTGAATTGAAATGAATTTATTGACAGTTTTACATTGTAATCATATCTATACGAGGGCTCTAGAGGACCCTCGCTAGTAATGCTGGCACCCATTGACAAATTGTTCAATCATACTACAAAAAGTTGAGAACATAATCTAAGGACAGCATCTTTCCGTTTTCCCCGGCGTCTGGGGCGGAGTCTAGTCCGTCGATCACGCATAGACCCGGCACTTGCGTTGGCACGGGACTTCGGTACATTTCTATCTGGGGATAGATAGGTACCTAGGCTAGTACACAAATGTTCTGAAACGTAGGGAAGATGAGTACAAGATACATATACTATCACGATACACATATGCTAGTGTCGGACAGAAGTCAGAATACGGAACCAGGAATTCAAGGGTCCGATGTGTATAATCTGGGGAAAAAGCGACGTGCAAAAATGGGCAGTGGCTGATGGGGCGCGGGAAAGAGTGAGGAGTGGGGGGCGAGGAGTGACATGTGGGATGTAAAATGTGAGTTATGACTTATAACGGGAAAGTATATAAGGTACTTGTGCTTCCCTACTTGTTCAACGTTGAGCACAACTTGTTCTACAAGAAAGGAACGAGCCAAATAATCTTCTCTACTAATCTTTTGCCCATTGGATAGCCCAAGGTTTTCTATAAACTTCTGAGACATACTCCAAGATCATCCTTCACGCCGCCAGGAAATTGCAATAGCCTACTTTAGCACTTTACAATTCTCCAATCACCATATATAATACCCTCTTACTTATCATTTCCTCTCTTTACGAACAATGGCACCTATAGCTCCTCAAACCGTCGATATCATCTTCGCTGGTGGCGGCACAGCTGCCTGTGTCTGCGCTGGTCGTCTAGCCAAAGCAAATCCAGATTTGCGAATTGTGCTTGTCGAAGGCGGCAAGAATAATTTCCAAGATCCAAGTATTACTACTCCGGCTGTATATTTGTCTCATTTGGCCCCAGAAAGTAAGACGGCTTTGGTATGTTATCTCGTTTTTTCTTTCTGTTTTTGAGGGCCCAGTGTTTCCGACAATTTGGACTGCAATTCATATGAAAATTCTAGTTTCGAGATTGTGAAGAAGGACCTAGACATTTGGAAACTCTATCAGGAGCCGAAGATGGAAGAAGGAGAACGATAGTAATCTACACATACTGACATAAAACAGTTCTACAAAGGTCAACCTTCCCAGCACCTCAACAATCGCTCCCCAATTATCCCAGCCGGGGGTCTCCTCGGTGGCGGCTCGTCCATAAATTTCATGATGTACACGCGAGCTCAATCTATTGATTTCGATTCTTGGGATACAGAAGGATGGACCGGAAAAGACATGCTTGAAATGTGTAAGAAATTGGAAACATTTCATCCTACCGGAAAGGGATTTGACAAAGAGAACCATGGATATGAGGGACCTGTGAATGTGAGCGATGGTGGATATCAGGGGAAGAGTGTTGATACCTTTATGGAGACGATAAAGGGAATGGGATATAGAGAGATTGCGGATTTGCAGGATGGAGAGGAGTGTGGAGGGTTTAGTGTGAGTTTGCTTTGCCTTTTACATTACATTTTCTATGTTATATCTTCTTTTCTTTCAAAATATTGACATCACCTCCTTTCTATAGAGATGGCAACGCTACGTCTCTCCAGAGGGCAAACGCCAAGATGCAGCACACACTTATATCCACCCACTCCTCCAATCATCTTCATATCCAAATCTTAAAATCCTCCCCGAATCGAAAGTCGTACGTGTGCTTTTTGATTCCTCTACACCTCCCCGAGCAACAGGTATAGAATACATACCCAATGAAGACCATCAACCTTTCATTGCACTTAGTAAAGCAATTCCACACACAATCAGAGCAGAGAAGTTAGTGGTTGTGAGTGCAGGAGCCTTGGGGACACCGCAGGTCTTGGAGAGGAGTGGGGTAGGCAGGAGAGAGGTGCTTGAGAAATGTGGAGTAGAGGTTGTTAATGAATTAGATGGGGTAGGCGAGTCATATCAAGGTGAGCAGAGTTTATACAATCCCACGGTTCTTTCAAGGATAGTGACTAATTATATCTCGTGACTAGATCATCATTTACTTTTGTACCCTTACAAAACATCACTCGATGATTCTGAAACCATAGATAACATTTTGAGTGGAAGGAAAGATTTCGTCAAATCTCTTGGAACCAAAGACCCTCAGCTGGGCTGGAATGCAGTTGGTAAGTCCCATAACAACTCCAAGTCTTGCCTTCAAAACCTGACATAGCCCCCTAGACGTATGCAGCAAACTCCGTCCGACTGCCTCCGAAGTCGAAGCTCTCGGCACCGACTTTGTCTCAGACTGGGACCGAGACTTCGCTCCCTATCCCACAAAACCTCTCATGCTCTGTGGTGTCGTGAATGCCTTTCTAGCAGACCCAACGCTTGTCGATCCAGGCCAATACATAACCATGGCCACCTACACTGCCTACCCCTATTCACGTGGTTCCATCCACATCACATCTTCCACTGACGTACAAAATGGCTATGAATTTGACGCGGGATTTTTAAATCATCCAAGCGATTTAAAGAAGCAGCTTTGGGCATATAAAATGCAACGAGAAATATGTAGAAGACTTCCCTACTACCGAGGAGAATTGGAACTGGGACATCCAAAATTTGGTAAGAAGTCTGCGGCTGCATTGTGTAACGGAGCAATTGAAGGAAAAATAAAGGATATCGAATATAGCGCAGAAGATGATGCACTTATTGAAGATTGGATCAGAGATAATCTGAATACAACATGGCACTCGATAGGAACATGTGCGATGAAGCCGAAAGAAAAAGGGGGCGTGGTAGATAAATATCTAAATGTGTATGGGACGCAGGGATTGAAGATTTGCGATTTAAGTATGGTTCCGGAAAATGTGGGTGCAAATACCAATAATACTGCCTTGGCAGTGGGAGAGAAGGCAGCTGTCATTATTGGGAAGGAGTTGGGAATCGAGGTTTGAGGTTTGAGGTTTGCGTTTTACGGAATGTGTGGGGGAGTGAGGAGTTGGGATGGATGGGTTTTAGGACGCGAGTAAAGTAATCGAATGGGATGTTAAAACCAGATGGGACTTGCCTTTATGGCTTCTCATTGTGCGTTATTATGATCAATGAGATGCTGCGCTAGAAGTAAATCTATCTAAATGATTAAATACTATGCATACCTTTACATATTATCCCCAGTCGGAATCAAAACCAACAAAACTCCTACAGAGTACATGTAAGTTTCACTTCCCCTAAATCCACACACCTATAAATGAAATCCAGAATCTCCATCTCGGAGTTCATACACTTACCTACAAAGGTATGAAAATGTATGTATACATACAACAAAAAACCTAAATATCAAACCACGAGCCAATCTCCCACAGACACTTATCCATCACTATTACTTATCACTACCAACTAATCACCAATCATAAGCTTGGGCTATTTGCCTCCCTACTACAAATAGTACGTACCTGTGTAAGTGCATGTAAAGTACCCCCTTTAAATCCAACCCCGTACACAGCACAGCGCTTCGGCATTGTGCATCCATCCAAACATCTAACCATACAAATCTCCCCCCCTCTAAACTTGAAACAAACTTATTTGCTCTCTCACAGTCACCAACAAACTCATTTAAACCAAGCACTGAGATTGAGATTACTTCACATTTCACATCATGTCATATCATATCAGATTAACATCAAGATCAAGATAAACCCCACATATCATGCAATACAATACAAAGCCCATGTCTCGCGGAAAAAGTCTCAAATATTGCCTTGCCTGTCATAATAAAATGTAAAAAGAATCTCGATACCATCAATAAGTAGCGTCGAAAAATAAGGTTCAGACCCAAAAAAAGGAAAACCGTGCATCAATCAATAAAAAAGGAAATAAAAACAATGACAAGATCCATTCCCCGAAATTCCTCCCATTTCACGCCAAATGTTTCACAACTGGGTTATGTTCCCTCCGTCCATCAGCCATTAAAGTTGTCTATTTCCCCTCTTCCTTCCTTAGCGTCATCGGTGCAAAGATTTGCTATGTGATTTTGCTGCGATGCTTTGCGAGCGGAGGCAGCGAAAGACAGACGAAATACAGAGGCCGATCCAAGGGACCATCAGTCTAATGCGGATAATAAAAGGGAAGCAGAAATTCGTGACGTTCTAGGTTCTTCAATAACCTAGATCAAGTGCGACCGATCGACAAATAACACCATCCATCTAACAACATCCACCAGCAGACCCCGATTGTACTCCTTGTCCCTGCCCGACTTGTACCGCTGGCTTATTGTTCGCGGTAGTTGTGCCAATTCGCTCCTTGATCTGGCGTGCCATGGTCAAGAAAGCTTGCTCGACGTTGCTGGCATTCTTGGCAGAAGTCTCGAGGAATGGGATGCCGAGACTGTCAGCAAATTCCTAAAACAATGCATGTTAGTCGCAATTTTGGAAGAAATCTAGATAGACCCTAAACAGGGGGTTCAGATGGTTGAGAACATGTGATGATATGTACCTTTGCGACGGTATAGTCGACAACCTTCTTGTCGGACATATCGCTCTTGTTGCCCACGAGCAACTTGTTTACGCCCTCTGTTGCGTATCTGTCGATCTCCTGTAGCCATTGCTTGACGTTGTTGAACGAGTCCATATCGGTCACATCGTAAACAACGCAAATACCGTGAGCACCTCGGTAATACGAGGATGTGATGGTACGGAAACGCTCTTGTCCAGCGGTATCCCACTATGAAGCAAAACTATCAGTAAGATACTTCCACATCATTCACTTTCAGGTCTCCTTACAATTTGTAATTTGACGGTCTTGCCGTCCAACTCGATCGTGCGGATTTTCTACCTCGCCATCAGCAAACAACACTCTGTAACCCAGAAACCGGAGCACCCACGAAATCAACACCGATGGTCGAGATGTAACTCTCGGTGTAAGTATCATCTGCAAATCGCAACAACAGACAGGACTTTCCTACACCGGAGTCACCGATAAGGAGGAGCTTGAACAGGTAATCGTATCTATTAAGTTCGTCAGTCGGAGTCCGTTCAGGATATACATGTTGACGTGGACCACTCGAGTGTACTCTGTGCGATGGTAATGGCATCTTTATGATGAGGGGTAGATATGATGTACTCTGCAAATAGAATGATCAGTATTGGGTCTCGGGAGATATAGTGTAGATGGTGGTTTCTTTGAAGTTGATGAAAGGATGACGTTTGATCTGAGGGGTTTCAACTTACTACTCGGGATTCATAATTGCGGTCGTTGGTTGAAAGGTATGTTGTTTTCGGTGGAAAATATATGATACCGCTTGGTTATCCTTTTCGATGTCGTATGGTTGTAGTTGTAGAATAAGATATGGCAACTCTTGGGAACCTCAACTGTGTTTAAGGTGCAGAGGCGGTCCACGGGCGTTAGACGAGTATCACGTGAATCAGGATTGGCCGGGATTACTTGGCTTGGTGGTGATAACTTGGTGGAATATGGAGGAGGCGTTTGCAAGTGGTGAATGTCTCGACTCGTATATTAAATTTATATCTTTATTAATCTTATTATATGCACAAAATAATCAGATACAATAAACTCCATTCTTACACGCATTGGATACTTGGAAGTACTTATTCTTCTTTTTCCTTTAACACCGTTTGGTTTGCATGATTCAAAGTAAAACTAAGAAATATTATAATGTGATTCTTATTGCTTCCTGTGTTTCTGGTCGGTGATTCATTCAAACTCCTGATCAACTGACCCCCTGACCGCACCGCTTTGTACCTATCTGATAATCGGGCAATCAGCAGCTTGTAAGGCCGATTGATAAAGCTTGATTATCACTGGATGAAGGAATCGATATCCAAAAAAGTTGTAGAAATCATTTCCTATGATGATGGTTACAATCTTCACTTTTTCTTCTTGAATTTATTGCATGCATGTATTGATGTCTTTGCATATGAATCCGATCCCTCCAAGCTGATGTCGAAATCTCACAGTATCCTACGCCTTACTAGAAGACGGGCCTCGAAGCTCTCCTCTACTTCTTCAACATGCCAAACAAAGCTTGCCACTACGTACACATGTCAGAAAAGTGCTCGATGTCTCGCAACTGTCAACGCAGGACCTAAGGTTCTACCGGATATCTGGTTCACTGGCTCAAATCCTCGGAATGACGATTCACCAATTCTCAAAAATTCAATCAAACCTCCCAACAATGAGAGAACCGTCAAACTTGGCAAAAGCAAGCAGCCCCTCCCCCGCTCTCCCTCAATCTATTCACCCACTTACAAACAATATACTAACAAATCTCAGCTCTCCGCATTCTTCAAGAACGTCTTCCTACCCTCCTCCAATCTCCACTTCCCCAAGAAATTCTCTCCCCGCAAATAACCCTTCACCTCTTCCCCTCCACGCACCCCCATCTCCCCACCGTCTCCGGCCGTGTCGCATATTCTGCCGCTCTATGGACATCTCCTATTGCCTGGGGTCGTGTTCCCCTCGTGGGAAATGTGAAGCTCGAAATACTTTCTGAGCGAATGAGTCAATCGTCATCTATAGGATCAGGTCGCGAACAATTAATCATACGATGGAGAACCATTGGCAAGACGAAGAATAAAGGGACAGGAGGTTTTTATAAAGGGATTGGGGCGCGAGAAAATGTGGATAAGATTACAGAGTGGTTGGGGGGTGGAAGTGGTGAGGATGATAGCAAGGAATTTACTGGACTTTTCCTCTTTGAATTCGATGAGGAGGGGAGGATCTGGTCGCATACTATTGAGCACGTCCAAGAGGGGGGAAATTGGGAAAGGGGTGTAGGGGCTAAAGTCGTTGGGTTGACGGATTGGCTTTTGGGCGGGATGAAGAACGGGAGAGGTGATGAGGGGGCTCCTTGTCCGGCCTTTTGGGTGCATGAGCAAAACCTGGGGAGGCGATGAGATAACGAAGGCGCAACTGTATTATACACGGGATGAAAATGATTGACATGGGACATGAATGATTTAGCGTATTGGTGTTCGGACAAAAAGACATGCTTGGGACTTTGTAAGAATACTAGACATAAACACCTCTCAATGAAGTAATGAAACAAATACTGGAACTCCCAATCCTTTAGCTGCGAGTTGTTGAGTTTGCACGATGTTTAGATATGTCAGAGACAATGTGGGTTGTATATGTAGAATGAAGTTTGTATTTTATGTATGAGCCAGCATCCATGTGATGCACGATTCAAGTTGCTCCCTTCTCAATATTACCATTTATTTCATCCTGAATTCTCATCTAAGTATGCCGACTAAGCTAGAAAAAAATTCCTATGCAGAATCATCAACACCTTCGCTAGATTTGTCCAAATATGCTACAAAGTTATGCCCCACAAGCTCACCCCTATTTACATTCCTTCTCAAATGCTTCAAGAAGAACCTACAGCCAATGTTTGTTAGCCACTCTGTAATCACAAGTATGTTCGAATCCATAATCCACTTACCGAGAACTCATGATCATCCATCGAAGCAAAGATAGGACTCTTTCCTAACTTCATCGCCGTCACTCTCGGGGTGGAGATACCAAAGGCTACTCTAGCGAGGAACCTCGGATCATCGCGCTCTTCAATCATATTAAGAATGTTTTTGAAAGCCATAGTATTGAAAGGAACAGGAGGGGGAAGTTGAATCTCTACGGGCTTATGTGTGAAACACCATTGACAATGACCACATTCTTCCTTTCCATCAGGCAACTCATCTCCAAAATGCTGAGCTAGTTTTTTTGAAAAACAAGCTTTGCCAGTGATGAGCTGTAGAATTTTCTCCGAGCGCTCCAGAGCTTGCTTTTCACGTGTTTCCATGCTGCTATAAATTGCCTTTGCGATTGTCTCAATATCCTTTGCGGTTTTGGGAAGAGGTTTAGTGACTTTGTAGACATTCAGGACCTGACTTGCTTTCAATTCTAGAATCCCCTCGGCGTTCCATTCGTTAAGTTTGCCAATGATCTCATTTCTTTCGATGTTATAACGACGAGCTGCAGCATCTACATCAATGTGATGGAGCTTAGCTTTCTTCTCGCCACAGACTGCGATCGCTGCTGCTGGTGGACTTCGATCTGACTCGATTTTGGAATGATACATGCGATCATTTGCAACATACGAATATTTTTGATACAACGGTGTGGTAGCACGAATCAGACCGTGGCCCAGCTCTAATTGTGCATATATACCACCTAATATTGTAGGGCGGATATCGAAGTCTTTTGTTTGATTATAATGCGAACTGTGAATCTCACCTCCAATTGGAAGCTTTTTTGCAGTTGAATCAAATATTTCGTTTAGTAGCCCACGAATGGATGCAAGAGATGGTAGGTCACCTCGTGCAAATAATTCACGGAAATGGAGATCCTCGCCACATATGAAGAAGAAGCAATTAGATATTTTCCCATCACGACCACTTCTTCCAATTTCCTGACCTGTGCGAAAATTAGCATGTAGAGCTTTGATATTTGCAATCGTCAAGTGGTTCGAAGATGTTGCTAGTTCGAAACAAGTGGGACAACTGGGTCGGCTCGTGGTAATCTATTGGGATAAATCTGAACATAGTAGAGATCTGGATGCACTGGCTGGGGTGATCAAAGTCAGGAGTTCAATGATAAAAGTTACTAACTGTAAGATTCGAGACTTTGAGGGACACTGAAATGTATGACATTACGAATCGAGCCCTTGTCAATCCCCATGCCAAAGGCAATCGTTGCGACCATAATCATGTTATTGCTTCCCATAAAATCGTCCTGCAGCTTCGTTTTAGCTTCAATCGTCATTCCTGCGTGGAATGCCTTAGCTTCGAAGCCCGCCTCTACCAATAAATTGGCAAGATTCTCCGTTTGCTTCTGCAAAGTAACATAGATGATAGTTGAGCCTTTATGCTTTCGTAAAAAGTCTCTGAGCTTGGGCAGCATAGTAACTTTTCTGTCTCCTGACTCAGCCAATAGATGCAGATTGGGTCGATAGGTGGAGGTTCGAAAAAGTCCAGAATCTTTGATCTTGAATGCGTTACAGATGTCTTGCGCAACACGCGGTGTAGCTGTAGCAGTTAGGCAAATGACTCTCTCTGCTCTGATCTCATCTGCAAAACGAGCAATTTCTACATATAGTCAGTAAATGATGCGTTTCTGGCATAGTCGGAGGTACAACTCAGGTAGTCTGGACGGAAACTGTGGCCCCACTCGCTGATACAATGTGCTTCGTCTACTGCAAGTAATCTGATACCTCCTCGGACATATTTCATTTGCTCCACGAAACCTTCATTGTTCAACCTCTCAGGCGCTACATATAGTAGCTTTAACTTCCCATTTCTCAGTTGGTTGCATGTTTGAATAAAGTCTTCTCTGGTCTTGCTTGAGTCGAAAGTTGCAGCAGCAATACCGCGACGAACAAGAGCGTCCACCTGATCTTTCATCAAAGCTATGAGTGGCGATACTACCAGGGTAACTGTATATCACTAGATTTAGTATCCTTTTCATATTATAAACAAAACCAGTGGGTAATCTGGAAAACTGAAGTTTCAATCGCGGAAGTCTGATTCTTTTGTTCATACAATGTTGTATAAGAATTACCGCATTGCACTCTTAACTTTTACTCACTGCCATGTTCGCCTTCATCACGAGTCTTGAGAATCTTGTCTTCTTCTTCAAACGCAAGTGCCGGGACTTGGAAGCAGAGACTCTTGCCACCTCCAGTAGGAAAGACAACAACGGCACTATCGCCACCAAGAATTCTTGATATGGCTTGCTCCTGCTTCAATCGAAAGGATTTGAAACCAAAGTTGCGACTTAGTGCAGACGTTGCCGACTCAAAGACCTTGTGAGAGCTCTCGATTGCCTGTTTCTTGGGAATCGACAAAGTCTGCTCTGGAGAAGCTTTACGCTTGTGGCCATGGTTGGTGCTAGCATCGACCGCGTTTGTCAAGTCTAGCATATCTGCCTCGTCGCCAGAACTGAAGCCATATTCATCAATTTCAGTAGGATTTTCCATGATGTGTGTATGGAATATTATGATTGCTATTTCCTTTTCGCCAAAGCATGAGAAGAACAAAAAGTTTGCAACAATCACATATCTAACACTGTCGCTGTAAAAGTAATCAAGAGCGGCGGCACTCCGCGTTTGCCTTTCGCGCGATCACATGATTAGTGGATCAAACCTGATAAATCAATCAATGTCCAGTTTGAATTCAGACATTGAGGGGTGTGATGAGATGAGATCTAATAGGTATATTTCGTATACTGGCGACCTGACTACATCTTTCATAAGAAAATTAGGTAAGATTGCTACAGCCTCCATTGATGACTTTTCATGCCCTGTTGATTGCTTTAACAATATCTGATATTTCAAATTGTATTTGTACGACCCGTTCCTATTAATCACGATAGGAGTGAACCATTCCGACACCATCTCTTACGCAGGTATATTCTAACGCCCTTCCTTAAACAGTCCAAATACCATTTATATGTACATTCCAGCAAAGCCATAACTTACAATCAGATGCATGCTTCAAGAGCACTATAGGTCCTCCTCGATAACCAAAGAATACGTTTACTTCACGGCCACTTTGGCAGGAAGGTTTCTCCTTAGTCTGATGGTTTGTTCATACAAAACATCCTTAAAGGCGAACAAAAATGCAGCAGTCATAACACTTTGGGAGACTTTGGGAGCAATTCCTGAAGTAAAGTCAGCAACAAGCCTCGTAATAATTCCAAAAAAAAAAAAGGATTCGCATACCTTTGTAGAATCCAGCGTAGCCCTCTTCCTTCAAAATACGTCTCATACCCTGAATCATACTTTCCTTTCCTCCGTCTCTTCCGGCAACGTGCATGCGACTCTTGACTGTGATATAAGGGTATGTTATTGAAGTAGCAAATAGCTTTCCTAAGGCACCTAGAAGGAATGCCATTGTTGGGGTGATTCTCTTCTTCTTCTCGATTGCATTCTTCAACTGTTCGAAAATTGTATATTGTAATATGGGGTTGATAACAAGCACCAAGGCAGGCACGACTCCAGAGAAAAGCGCTAGTGGACCTTCTTCTTTGATGAGTGCAAGCAATGTGCCAACTGTTGTCGGTGCCTTTGATGCCTTAGCCCCAGGCAAAAAGCCCTCACCCTCCTTGTTTCTCTTTCGTGTAGTCATTCGTGTATTGACTACCCAAATAGGATTTGTGAGCAAGACTGTTGCTGAGCCTGCGATTGCTCCTGCGATCATCGATTCGATTGTTGTAAGCTTTTTTGAAGCTCGGCCAGCCTTGAGTGCCGCCTTCTCGAATCCCGAACGAGTCCATTCATACCAGTAGTAATATACAAAGTTCGTAACACTGATTCCAAATAGTGCTGAATCGAGTCCGGCATAAAGACCTGTAATACCCTCACGCTCGATGATGTGCTTTACAGCGTCAAGGAATCCCGAATCAGCGCGTTTTGATTCGACTTGTGCGCGCGTGGAAAGCGTAATGAGAGGATAGCTTCAGTTTGTTAACCTTTGAAATGCGGAGAAGGATAGGGGTCTAATACGTAAGAGCCATGGAGAGAATGCCCCCACCAGCACCGGACAGAGCATGAGCAACATTATCTGATTGTTGAGCTGCCATGATTGTTTTGTATAGGTATATGTGATGTTGATGACGTTCTGATATTGAAAATAAGGAGTGTTAATTTAATATGGAGAAATTCAAGATTGGAACTATCATATGAAAGACGTGAAGAATGAAGAAAGATGAATTATTATTATTCTCAATACCTAGGTAGTTTCGTCCGCTCTTTACATCAGATGGATGTGCATTGTCAATTTACATATCAAAGGCCCAATTCCGACTTACCGAGGCATTGCGGAGCCCCCCCTTGCATTGTCCCGGAGATTCCCCACCCCCAATTTAATTTGTACTAACACGTGCTTGGGAAGCAATCCACGTGCCGATGATCTATTCTTATCTATGATTAGTAATCACTCGGCTTGGAAACGCCAAGCTCAGATTAAACTTCACTTCAAACTTAACATCAATTTATTTCTCCTCATTAACAATTATTTGGTTCAAAGTATAATTATCATCAATTATTCATCATTCTTGTCAACGCTAAATATATACCCCTTTTTGTTTAACTTGTCGCGAAATATATCTAATTCTTTGTCATTAGTTATATAGTATATACCCAACATCGTTTGTTTCTATCGTTAAAATCATTTGTCTCTCTTGTCAGCTGTCAATTGGAGTACCGGTATCATTATTAGGAGACAGGGGAAGCGTGTCTTTCATTAGCAGTTCTTTCCTTTGGGTGTATATTTCAAACATTAGAAGTAAATTTCATTATATCTATCAAGTCATCATATTGTAGTCAAAGTTGCTCACACATTTTCTTAAAACTACGCATTTTCAATACTTGTATCAGAAATTTTATCTGGGTTATCTGAGAATTCAAAAGTGGGAGAATGCTCCCAGTCCTTCACGTCCCTGCAATGACCCCTGAAGCTACAAAGCGTAGTAAATATGCCACGATCGCGCCTCAAGGAGGCGAACAATATATCCAAGCCCATAATCAAGCGCCATGTGCAAATGTACAGGATAGAGTGATGCCTGAGCATCCGGGACAACCTTCGTCGCTAGGCAATTCGTCGTCAAGTCACCAGAATTCTCGAAGTCTACCGTCGAGAGAAGTTACAGACGAGAACTTTGACGATGCCTACGTAGGCTTCATCATGTACTGCAATCCTGCTGTGGCATCAGATACAGATACTGCTGAATTGAAGCGAATATTTCGCGCGCCTCCAAAAAGTGATAACAAAAGTTTCAGCACTTTTGTATTGTTCGAATTGATTTGTAAATTAGAGAATAAGGAGATTAAAACATGGGCACAATTGGCAATAGATTTGGGAGTTGAACCTCCTTCTTTGGAGAAAGGTCAAAGTGCCCAGAAGGTACAACAATATGCTGTTAGGCTCAAGGTATGCGAGTAGATCTCAGAAACTCGTCAATGTAACGCTAACAATATTTAGCGGTGGCTGCACGCAATGCATGTTGATGCATTTTTTGAATATTTATTGAACAAACCTCATGTGTATTGGACACAAGTACCATCGCCTGGCGAACCACCATCAGAGCATGGTCGGGATGGGGTACCCGCCGATGAAGATTTGGCTCTCCGCGCTTTGCTTCCGGAAACAAGACCTAAGCGCGGGCGAAAGAAGGCTGAGGATAGGGAAGAGGATGAGATAGGAAGATCACCATCTCAACGTCCTCGGTTACACTCGCCTACACTGTCTGAAGATTTTATGATTCCCAGGGCGTCCTTACATCCGGATAGTGCTACACCAGCGACAGCAAATTCTTCTTTCCAGCAAGGCTTCGATACTCGTCTAAGCCCATGGTCTGCAACAGAAGTTCGAGGCCCTTTAGTAGACAACTTCAGATGGGGTGCTCCACCAGAAAGTGCAACTCCTCTATCAGCTTATCCACAGTCAGCTCTCACTCCATCGAATAGAACACATCTATGGCCGGATAGCAATGAACCTCAATCAGCCACAACGCCAAATAAATCTCGGTCGAGGCGTCGTCATGGGCCTGCAGTATCATCAGCATGGCCAAGTAATGGTAGTGCCTCTACTAGAAAATTACGAGGTAGACCACCTAATAACCGTTCTGTTACAGATGGTCCTTTTTCAACCTTTCCTGCCAATCCTGGTTCAACAAGAGATACACCAACCGCTACTCCTATAGTAGCAGATTCCGAAATCTCTCATTTCTTTCCTGCTGGCGTCAGGGTCAATCCACCTACTGCCATTCCACAAACTCAAAATTCTCGACCAAGCCGACTTTCACTACAAGTCCCACAAAGAAAAGGTGGAAATGTTCGATTAGCAACACCGCCACCACCCGTGGTACTTCTAAACGGAGAGACCGATACGAATATGCAAAATGATTTGATTGAACAATCTCAACAAACGTCATTAATGGAGTATTTCAACAACACTGCCAACGGACCCCAGGACTCCAGTTTCGAACACTTTGTCAGTATAGCATTCCGACAAAACGAAGATTTTGACCGCACCAACATCGATGCTTTAGAATCCCATTTCATTGGAGAAATTCTTGCCGCCGAATGGTACGACGTAGCCGGAAATTCAATCCAACGATGCTCTATAGACGAAGCATCCAAAATCTGCAAGCAAGTCATCCGAAATCTCCAAGCCGAATCTAGCAGCACAGAAGCATTCCTTATTAATCTTTCAGCACTAGCAGGCGGTCCCCTCATGACACGTCTTCGCGTCACAAGACTTGAATTCCCCGGCCCACCCCCAAGAACGGATTATGAATGTCATTGGAAAATGAGATTCGGTAGTCTTGAAGGGGATTTTACGATAAGAGCTACAGTTGTGGAGAATGATCTAGAGATGGGAATGAGGGAAGGAATGGGAAATATGGGGAGAGGAATAGATAATAATGAGGAGAGTTGGAAGGCGAAATATCTCAGTTTGCAACAGCAGATTAAGGAGAGAGATGCAAAGGTTATGAGGCTGAAGAGGGGAATGGTCGATGCGTTGGTTATTAGTGAAGAATGGATCAAGGGAGGTAAAGTCTTTCAGAACCAATGATGGTGGAGGTGGTAACAAGGCTTGATAAAGTTTGAAATCGAGGCAATATTCCGGTTTGGGAGTTCGGATGGAAATCACGGTGGTTGATAGAGGGGTTTTCTAGTACGGTGGTGCTTGAAATATATATTTAGCATAAATTCGATATCCACAAGGCATACTACAAGATACATATTTGTTAAGAAATTTTGCAGAACTCATTCATACATTCAGAGTCGAGAATACATGATGACAATAAGGGTTATTTATACCCAGGAGGTGGGAATATGTGATCATTTGTATCCACCCCCCTGGTCATTAGATACGCAATAAAACTTTTATCGTGCGAGTGTATGAGTGAATGAGAGATTTATTCACATAATAGATGATTTCTTCCTAATCGAATCCTTTCCTCTCGTATGTAGTCAGATCACCAGTTAGATTTCTTGACGTCGGTGTAGCGTTAGGTAGGTATGTTCTATATATGTAACACAACCCGGTGGGATCACCCACGCCGCAATCCACAAGTTGAGGAAAGTAAGAGAAAAGTTCCAATGATCTTGCTAGAGATGTCTTTATTATTGACTCTATAATTTCTTTTCGATTCGAAGAAACTACATCCACAATGTCACTTGGTGCATAATCTTACATGTTGATGGATATATATCATAGTTGTCTCATGTCTTCTACATACTTCTATTAAATTTCCTTCTCCCCAAACCCCGTTTTTATACTCTCCATCTCTGCCTCAGATAACAGGAATACACATAGTGCGCTTTTGAAGGATTACTTTTACTATCCTGGATCCAATTTATGTTTAGGTTTATCTCGAACTTCGAGGATAAAAATCGGTAGGTTGTGGATTGAAGATGGATTGTTGGAATGTGATATTCCTATTGTTTTACTTTTGCTTTCGAGGGGGATGATGGGGATGATGGGGATGATGGGTATGATGGGGATGATGGGGTGGAGGGTTGTGATGTTGTGAAATTGTGGAATTGTGAGGTTGTGGAATGAAGATCGTATTTGAGAGTCAGGTGGAAAGCATGGTAGGAGTGAGAGGATGTTGGGTGAGAAGGGGGTTGATGTATTTTGGGATGGAGAGGAATGGATCGGATTGCGTTAATACGGTGCACAGAGGTGCGTGTTAAGAGGAGTGAGGATGTTAGTTTGATATGATTTTGAATCTTGGGATCGAGCTCTATTAGAGTCAGTCCAGGTAATTTGTTGCGCGAAAGAGAGAGACTTGATGCGATGGATGGGAAGTGCTGGAAACCAAGTTGTTCGTGTCTTGTAGCTGTGTATCCGATGATTAGAAATGAAGCCTCGATACTCGTAGGTGAATAGTTGGACTTTTGGAAGGGAATCCCGAGGGAATTTGAAATGTATACTCGTTAGTTTCATGCTAGGTTCGCCATGATTGGAGCAGGAAATCTGAGAGTTGATGCGGGGTCGCTTTTCCTCGCATGTGGTGTTCTTCGAAGGAGTGTGGGACTCGATTCGAGTATTTTGATGTGCAATAGGAGAATTGAAAGCTCATTATTTGAGCTTGGGGGGGATTTCCCAGAATTGAAGGGCGAATATTCGGAATTAAATTTATACATTATGTACTGCATATTTCTTGGCCCTAGATAAGAGACAGAAAGAATATGGGAGCAAATGAGCGAACGAAAAAAAGAAGCAACGATTCTTCAAGCTCTTTTAATAAATGACAATGATACCCTCGTGCTAGAAGACTGGCTAGATGAGAGAATGGAACATCAGGATTTCAACTCGAGTGTCCTGATGACGGAGTTGGGGGCTGAGGAAGAAGATCAGAAGATATTTTATAGAGGAAGTTTTGCGGCGATGATGGTGGGTTTGGCGTGCCATAAGAAGGTGGGTGATAGGTTGAGACTGGAATTTATGGGTTTTGAACTGGTGTGAAGAGATGATGAGGTGGGGGGGGGGGAATGGCCGGTGTGGATGGAGGATGAGAGGGTTAGGGAGAGGGAAATGAGAGAGGTGGAAGTTTGGGGGGAAGGGGAA